ATGTAATATATTAAATATAAATGTAATTTTATTATGATATAATTTTTTTAGAAATATTTTTGTATTACTTTGTAAATTTAATTATTATTTGTAAAAATCAAAAATTTTATTATATTATTATTTTTTATGATATATAATCTTATATGATATTGTTATTAATTTATAAGGATTTTTTTTATTTCATTTTTTAAAAAAATATTTATTCAAGTTATAAATTTAAATAAAAATAATTTATAAAATATAAAATTCTTCTTAAAAAAATTTATTTATATTTATCAATATTAAATAATTAGTAAGTTATAGTTTTTGTCTTTAGATATGCCTTAATTTTAAATAGTAAATATATTTAAATATATATCTAAAAAATTAATAAACATTTTAATTATTATCTAACTTATTTCAAAATCTTATTCTGAATAAATTATAATATTTATTTTTTATATATATTTATTTTTTTCTTTTCTCATATTATTTGTGATAATTACAAATATTAAAAGATTAATTATATTATTAAATTATATTTATAATTATATTATTATTTATTTATTTACTTATACTATAATTTTTGATTAAATTTCTTTATTTTTACTCACATTGATAAGTTAAATTATTCTTTAGATAATACTTTTTTAAAATTTTATTTTATTATTCTTAAATATTAAATGATATTTTTATTTCTTTTTTTTCTTTTTAAAACTAAAATCTATTTTAGAATTTTTTTAAATAATTTTTGAAGATTTTTTTATAATTATATAAAATAATTTCAAATAAATGTAAAAAAAATTTAAAAGATTAAAGATTAAAAGTTAAAAGATTTAAAAGATAAAAAATTAAATGATAGTAAAAATGTTTTCTTCTTTTATAAATAAATATTAAATAATTTATTTATTTAATTTAATATTTTATGAAAACTTAAAATAATATAATATTTATGATTGAAATAATATATTTACTTTTTTAGAATCAAAGTATATTTAAAGAAAAAAACTAAAACTTACTAACTATTAAATAATGATAAATATAAATATAAGTTTTTTTATTTAAATTTATAACTTAAATAAATTTTTTTTTAAATATTATTTATAAAACCTTTTTCTTTAAAAAATTTTTATAAATTAATAAAAATTTTATATAAGTTTGTATACATAAAAAAATAACGTAATAATATTTTTCAATCTTTATAAAATAATATTAAAATTATAAAATAATATGAAAATATTTCTGGAAAAATTATATTATAATAAAATTATATTTATACTCAAAGTATTATATATTAAATATTGTATAATAAATTTAATAATTATCTATTTTATTAAATAATTTATTGAATTATATTGAATAATTTATTATAATGTTAACAAATTTTCTTATAATAAAGTTTTGATTAATTTAAATGTCAAATTTGTTATATTGAATGTTAACTATATTAGATGGTAGTTTTTAGATATATATATAATTAGATTATATCTTATTCTTTTAATAGGTAAATAAGTTTTAAATAGTTAAAGCAATGATATTTATTACATAATATTTTAAGAAGTGATATTAATATATATAGTATAATATAATAATAGTATATATAGGACTTCAAAAATTTATAATTGATATTTTTGATAAAATTTTATAAATTTTATAGTAAAATTACTTCAAATTCTATTAGTTAGCTGATTTAAAAGAAAAAAAATATAATGATGCAATATAACATTTTCATTTTTAAGTTTAATTTATTAATTTATAGTAATATTTTTAAGATTTTTACTTATAAATTTACTGAGAATATTAATTATAAGTTTTTAGAATTTTATATATATAGTATAATGAGCATAACAAGTTTTTTTTTGTAATTAACTAATTATACATTAATTTGATTGGTTAATAATAAATCACATAACTATATATTTGAATAAAAAATTTTTAAATTTAATTTTTAAGTCTAAAATCATTATTATTTATATAAAAATATTATATAAAAAGGATTAAATTATTTTTAACAAGTGAGAAAAAAATTAAATTATTTTTTATCAAATTATATTAATATAAAAATATTTTTAGATATTTATTTAAATTATAATTCATTATTAGTATTTATTTCAAAATTTAAATCAAATTATATAATCAAATTAAAATATTTTTATATTTTTATCTATTATTTATTAGAAATAAACTAACTTTTTTTTTTTTATTTATATATTAATAAAATAAGAAAACTTTTAAGTTATTTATAAATATATTAGTTATAAATCAAATTATATAATTTTTTAAAACAAAAATAGCCTTAAAAATATATTACTTACTTCTTTTTATACAAATAAATAAATATTAAAAAATATATATCAATATATATTTAAAGCATAATTTTAAATCTCATTCTCATTTTCTTTTTTTATATATATAAAATATCATATTATAAAAAATTCTTATTAACTAAATTTTGAATTACCATGCTTTTTACTAAATTACTTTAACAATTATAAAATATAAGATATATTTTAAAGTAATTAGTATTTACTTATCTGTATAGATGATTTATTAATTTATATATAATTTTTTTAGCTTTAGGCATGGCAAAAATTTGTAATATTTTAATATCTAATGATTATAAAAATAAAATAAAATTTATTAGATTTGTTATATTAATTAAAATAATAATTATTATTATATATTAATTAAAATTTCAATTTTTCAATTTTTAACTTAATATTTATTAATCATAAAATATAAAATTTAAATTGTTTATTTTATTTTATTAATATCATAAATAATTTATTATATATAATTTTTTTATTATTTTATATTATAATTTTTTATTATAAACAAGAATTATTTTTATTTAATAAAAATAATACTTGTTTCTTTAATTATTATCCTTAAACTGTAAGTATAAAATTATTTTAGAAAACTTAAAATATTTTGATATCTAATAATTATAAAAAAATTAAAATAAATTTTTAAACTTTTAAAATTCATAATTATTAATATATATTAATTTTTCAATTTTTTTTTTATTTATTTATCTTTAAAAATCACTACTTAATTACATTTTTTTTTTATTTTTACTTAGAAAACATCATAAAATTTATTATAAAAGTTTTAATTTTTAATAATATATTTTAAATATTTAAAAATAATTAAAAATGATTGTAATTAATAAATAAAATTGTTTAAAAATTTGTAGGCAAAACAGTTGAAGGGATAAAAATAATTTTAAAATTAATATTGATAATATTAATTAATTTATTAATATAAAATTAAATTATTAATTAAGATACTTTAAAAATATTTTAAATATTTTTTTTTATTTTAAAATTTAGTTGTTTTATTATATTTTTAATATTTTTGATTAATTAATATTTATTATTAAAAAAAACTTGTTAAAGTTTTAATTTTACTTTAGAAAAAATATTAAATAAATTTAATTAAAAATGTTTATTATAAAAATATTTTATTATTTCTTAATTGCTAAAATGATTACTTATATTTTCTAAAATTATAAACTTTTAAATTAATTTTATTTTTATTTTTATTAATTAATTCTTTGTAACTTTTTTTTATTTTTATTTTTATTTTTTAATAAATTGTCTTATTAGCAATACTTAACATATTATTATTATTTTTTTCAATAGCTTTCTTTTATTCAAGTATTTTAAAAGATTAAAATATTTTCAAAAATTCTTCTCTATTATTCGTTTACTTCAAGACTACAAGACTATTCTTCTTAAATTTGAATTAAACATTATTTATAGGTCTAATAATAAAAGGTGCGATTTGTTAAAGTTCATTCGATATTTCATCTGAATCTATTACTCCGATTCTCCGACCAAAAAATTTTTTTTGATTGGTCTGCAACATTCGACGAAATCTGCGGGCTTTTCTGTTTCAAACCATAAATCAAAAAAAAAAAAAAAAAAAATTGATACAGATTATTAAAGGAGATGAATGCAGTAAAATGATTTGTTAATCAAAATCATTAAATTATTTTTTTTTCATGAAGGCTCCAATTAAAGGAATGGTTTAATTTTTTTTTGATTTGGGAAATTCTTTTGCAGGATATAGATCTTACCGAATCTTTGGGGGGAGGGGTAAAATATGCCCATGCATAATTTCAATGGGGACGAATAACCTTCATTTCATGAGGGACGAAATGTCAATAAATAAGCCTTCAATTTAATCATCGAGATTTGTTACAACCACGGCTTTTGGGGTGGGGGGAAAGAAAATTTAACCAGTGCTCGATTGGATCCTTTGATCTGGATAGATTGTAAATATTTTTTTTTTTTGCATCACGAACCAATAGATTCGAAAAGAAAACAAAACAAATTAATTAGAACGCTTCCGGTTTAACAAATCAATAAACCATACCAATTATGGTAGGTAAGAATTGATAAACAAAATTTTTTTGTGTGATGGGAAAAAGGATGTGTGAGACGAATATTAAGGTTATGCAATAAATAATTACATGTACATTTGAAAAGACAATTTTTTTTTATGTAACAATCAAGGATATTATCATTATCAAACTTTAAATTTCCCAATATTTTACAATTTAAAATATGTAAAATCTTATTAAATATTTTAATTGATTACTCCGACATTAACTGTTAAAGGTTCATTCATCCAAAATTAGCCAACAAGTGAAAAGAAATATTCGCAACGGATTGAAGTGAAATAAAAAAAGAAAAATTTCATAATTCTTAAAAAAAAGAAAAAATCGGAAATGATGATCCGATTTTATTTGCTTTATTGGGTTAAAATAATAATGACAAGGGTCATTGAAACAATGTTTTTTAAATATGAAACCGTTCTAAAACGATTAATGATATGCTGCGCAGCAGTTTCGGAGTTCATTTGTTTATTGATTTATTGTGAAAGTCAGTTGATCAAAAAAAAACAATAAGTACGATTTTTTATATTATGACTTTATTTGAAAAAATTTACAAGTTAAATTAAATAAATTAAGGATTTTTATGTACATCTCGTAATTAAGAAAATTCTATTGAATGCTATATGAGATGATCTTTGGAAGAAGCAGGTCGCGGTAAACGAGTTTCTTCATTATTGGTAAAATGTTCGTTATCAGTATTAACTATTGTAACGGTAGAAGGTTTAGAGTTGTCACTAGAAAAGCTTTTTGAAACCTCAGTATTTGTTTCAACTTTAATTGTAACTTCAAAGGTAGAGTTATTAATTTGAGGAAGGAGATGAAGAGGGGTTTGCGTGAAAGGTTCATGAGGGGTATTAATAATAATGGAAGAACTCGTTGAAGTACGTTTTTGGGGTGGAACATAAGGATCTTTCCAACCTTCATTTATTATGAATTGAATCATGTTACCTATTCCACCCATATTCACCGATGCGTCTTTGAATCAAAAGGGAAAGTCATTTTAGTTTATAAAAAAAGAGAAGAGACGACAAAAGAACATTGAGAAGGGATTAAAGAACTTTTGTTTACCTGTTATCAAATAAACCCACAAAGGATCGTAATCAATGATCTGACCAACAACGTAAATCATCGGAGGGGTCCATTGAAGCATAAATATTAAAACATAACCAATTATTTTCCTAACGACGATCGGCTCAATCTTTTTCACGATCTTTGATACATTTTCGTTATTATTACTGGTATTACCATCAACATAATTTCTATTATTAAGATACGTATTACTGTTAAAATTACTATATTCAAATCTTTCCCTCTCCTTTTCCCTTTCCCTATTATGATCATTAATGAAACTAATGGAATTGATTTCTCTGAGCGTGAATGAGTAAGAGAATAGAGTTATGGCCAAGGCTCCGAAATTTAATATCAGGGTAACGATGGGTAAAATGTTACTTGTCTTGTTGGTATAGCACCAATATTTCCCCGATCCATATGATGGCAAACTAATCATTGTATAAACAATACTCGTAAATAAAATGAATAGAATGGCCTTATAATCGTATGTTCCCAAATCAATGATCATTTTACGACAAATACGTAAATACGTCAAAAATGCCAATAAACCGACCAATGTTATATTTGTTGATATCGTAAAAAATGTTATCCCCCCTATTATTTTACAATTTGAATCAGACCATGGTACCCCGTGTATTACCGGAAACAACTATCGAAAAAGGAGGGAAAAAAAAAGGAAAGGTAAACGCGGGATTCTTTTGATTTCGTTGTGTAACCAACATTTTTTCGCTCGTTCAACTCACCATATTGGGAAAATTTATCGAAAATAGCATGAAATCTAAGAAGAGTAGAGGATTAAAAACGGTTAAAAATATTCCTTTAAAAAAGAAAACTAATAAACTCCCTTTGATGTGTACCTGATAAGGAAATGTAAAACGGAACTCTAAGAGCCATGGGAAGACTCTTCTTTGAAATAATCCATCGAGTTAATGTTCTGCGTAATACATATAAAGTACAGATTCCATTCAAAATTATCATTACCATACCAAAGTATATAACTATTTTAAATTCTATATTTGAAAATGATGATGTCGGTGATTGATTTTCCATCCTTTACTTTGAGAATTATTAATAAGAGAGAAAAAAATTTTACAAAGGATAGGCGGTTGAAAAATTCAACGCGACCTTTTTATCTAAAAAATATTAAAAAAAATTGAGGTAAGGTAATGTATTGTAAACGCCCTTTATATAAGAAAACGCGCATGTTTTATAATCAAATCAAGTGGAAGGTATTCTAGGTATACTAGGTATACTGTCCCTACTCTGTATTAATTTACCATAATAGTATAATAATAGTAGATCTTAATTCGTTATAATAAAATAAACATAAATTGATCATTTTCCGGTTGATAAGTTATCGTACATATTAATTTACAATCGTTACCTTTTTGGTAAGTTTGGTAAATCAACAAAAATCTTTATTTTAAGAAATGAAATTCCAAATTAAGTTAATCCCCTTTTTTTTAAAAAAAAAAAAATTCTATTGGATTTAATAATCTCATTGGTTTCCGCAATATGTTTCAAAAATTTTCTTTTTTACACAACAAGTACACGTTGTCATGCAAGCAACCGTTTTGATTAGTGAGCTTATACTAGAGAAATTCTAATCCTTACACAAGGCCACAAACAAACAATTCAATTTTGTTCGGTTTGTGTCTTACCTGGTAATCCGGATTGCCGGAGATATCATTAATATCATGATCGAAAAATAACGTAATGACGCTTCTCAACCCTAATTGTTACAGAAGTAAAAGCAAGGTGACATCATTACTTACACAAAACCTGAAATTTTACCCCAAAAATAACAATTAACGAAACGGACACTCAAAAGGGAAATTAAGAGACAAAGCCACTTCTTGCAATTCATAACCCTTTGATGAGGAACATCCCAACACTTGAAGAGGGAGGGATCTCCCGGACCAGCCAAGTAAATGGATGACAATAGTAATAATTTAAATATTGAGGTTTTAAATTGTCCAAATTCAAAAAATTTATTCAAAGCAATTACTATTATTACTTTAAACATTACATTATGTCCATAGTTAAATAAGTAATTGAATATCTCCGAGTCGAGTTAAAAAAAGTAATAATTTTTAGTCAGTGTCTGAATTGAATGTCACGAATCTAAAATTTTATTGCACAACTTTTTTTATTTCATGTAGTAAGTACAATATGAAAATACAAGAAATTAATTATCGTTATTATTATTGTTGTTCCCAACATTCACTTGATCGACAATTCTTTATCATCATTATTATCACACATCCAATCAACCAAGAATTTAGCAAAAAGTTCAGCTTTAAATGGCTAATTTAGAGGATAAAGACACATTCTAAGACGAAAGTGTGAATTAAAAAAAAAAGAGGAAACGAGTCGAGTAAAGAATAACATAGAAATTTAAATTTATTAGGCGTCGCATTTTACGACCGACCCAAATGAGTAATTTCTTTAATAATATCTTTTTTTTATAATTGAAAAGAAAGTTTAAATTTGACAAAGTGTTATCACAAAGATCTAATCCAAAATACGTATAACGTGGTCATATTTAATTTTTTTCCTTTATCATAAGCGTGAAAAATAAAAAATTCCTTTAAATTCGTTAAAATTTTTATTGTCACTAATATTAATCCTATCATAATGATTAGAGACCTCTTACTCATTTATTTTGGAGTAATCATCACTTAATTTTGCAATAAAAGTTGATAACGCCGTCATTGTTTCCTAAATTATTGAGAATTCATAATTAATACATATTAACGATCTCAAACAGTTTTTTCTCATTATCCCTTACCTAAATCAAAAATCAACATTAATGCCATTTCTGTAACCTGCATTTTAATCTTATATCTAACCTTATTTAGAGGGTTCATAAAAGTTATAAATATACAAATCCCCGGAATAACTAAAAATAATGAGACAATTTGTAACGTTGATAAAGTAAAATTTAAATTCAATTTCTTTTTTTTTGTTATCTCATATCATCAAACCAGGAATCAACTTTACTAACTAGTATATAATAGGAGGTTACAAGATCAATTTAATACACAAAAGTAATACTAAATGGGAAGTAAAATCGTATATGATCCGTAATTTGAACGCTTCAAACACAAAAACTATGATAGAAATCAACTCTTCAAAGTTTGAGAAGTGACACTCAAATGGTTCTCACCTTCCCTTCACAAGGGTGTTCATTTTGAATGTGGTTTTTCTCAAAATTCCAAACTTCGACAAAATAGAGCGAATTAGTAACATATTTGCATGTTTTCGTGGTACACCGCCTTTAGTTGGTATTCAGGGATACCATGAGAATCAAACATGAAGTATAATGGCAAATGTAAAAAATACTCATCATCTATCATAAATTAGTGATTAAACCCCCTTGTCATGTTTTCAAGCCAACACAATACCATTTACTTTATGAACTAGTAATTGCAATGAGGAATAGTTCTGAACTGCAAAAAGTAACCCATAACGATGAAGTAAGTTAAGGGCTTTCTTATACTAATAAATTAGCCAATTAAAAATAATGTTTACCGCGCTACATTTTATTTGTTTTATTTGTTAAAAGATTTATGTTACGTTGGTGTATGATAAATAATTGATTCATATTACGTAATGGCTTATCCTTTTATCGGTGAAAGAGACTCGTAATTAACAAAAAATGTGTAGTCTTTTGGAAAAAGCGGACTGCTGCGGTTGCGTCGATGCAAGCTGTTTCAAATTCGTGTTAATCAATGCGGATAAGATACCTTATTTTTATATATGATCACGTAAGGTGAATAGTGTGTTCTGCACAAAGTTTTGAAGTAGAGAAAAGAAATTATAAACACACGTGCGAGAAATAATAAAAATAAAAAACTATTAACGGATTTATTGATATCAAGCACCACGTGAAAATTTATTTTGTACTAACGAATAAGAAGTGCTTTATTGATAGAGAACCAGAACGTCAATATAATGTTATTACCCTCATATAATAAAAATATATATTAAAAATATTTACGAGAAAATCTAATTTATCTCATTTTCATTACGGGATTTTTATAAAAGGGCAATCAGATAAGATACCAATCGCATGAACATTAATCAATAACAAGTATATTATCGATATGAATTCTTGCATTGACTCACAAACCAGTTTTCAACAATTTCACATACAGTTTTGTAGTAAAAAGGGAGGAAACTAAAAAAAAAAAATTTTAAATCGGACGTAGTGCCCATATAAGCGTCATCAAAATCCCGCTTATTCTTCGATGATCTTATATATTTTGCGAAACCCAACACGTAAAGCACATTGGCGAACTTGTCTTGAGAATATGATTATAACTGTTTTGCATCCGGCATTCCCATGTTAACATATTATATATTCGTTGTTAATATTACGGAGAGAAAGTGCCTAATCAAGGAGAGCCTAAGCAACCACAATGTCGACTCAAAAAATATCATAAAAATGTTGTCGCATGTTATTAATAAATATTATTAATAAATAGATTAATAAATTAACAAAAAGTATATTACAAATTAGAGGTTAATTAAATTATAAGCTAATTCAAGTATTTTCATTTTTATAAAGACGTTCAATTTCAGCATTAAGGGCCCAAACCCATTCTTCACATTCCATTCTACTTCTAGCTCTAAAAACCCAAAAATTTCCCCGAGTATTCAATTGGATTCTTCGATTCACTTGGATTTTCATCCCATCATTACCAAAACAATACTTTCTTTTATTTTTCCAAATAACAAAACTTGTATCTTTATAATTATCATAAGATACCATACCATCCCCATAAATTTTGGCCAATTGACCATTATTATATGATTTAGCGACACTTCGTTCTTGTGATTGATTTGAATCATAATATTCATGTTCCGTTATTTCTCCTGAATATACATAACAATCTCTCAAATTTATGCACCATTTATATTTGTGATAACTTTTGTTTGACGTACATTTTGATAAGGTGGAACGCGTGTTACGATGAAAATAAATAAGGTGGCCATGCGTTAGAACATGATGATAATGTTCAAATGTTTGCACGATTTGTGTCTTATTATATAACCACCCAGATTTCTAAAAGGATAATAAAATGTTTTGAGTAATTTTTTTATAAAAGATTATATTATTATTTGTTTCGTCGTACTTACAATGATTCCACGACATCTATCTAATACACAACAATTCCATAATATTGGATTAACATAAGATTTTGAATTCCTCCAATGATAAAATCCATCATCAACTGTCTCATGATAATATGATTGATTTGTTTTAATAATTTCGACTCTCATTCTCACATCTCGCGATATTCTTGCCTTCCAATATTTAATAAGTTCATTTAGATGATTTATCCATTCTTCTCGTGTTTGCCGTGAATATGCCTAGAAAGAAATTAAAATGTATAAATAAATTTTATATATTATTTTGCAGAGAATTGAAATGTTTAAATATCTTTTCTTACCTTTAGAGTAATAACTTTACCATTTTTCTTTATCAATTTAAAAGTGCACCCTTCTCCGTCATTAACCTCATCCGCTTCTAGAACTTCTTCTAAACATTTAATCTCAACAATTTCGGTTAAGTCAATAAATCCTTTCGCACATAAAATCTGATTAACTCTCCTGTTCATATCAGAATTCATAGGTGAAATTGCATAAATTAATGGATAATGTTGAATGTCATTATTATCACTTGTATCAATAACGGTTGTAGTGGACACATTTGGAGGTGGAGGTGGACTTGCATTTAATGGATTTATAACGAACAGATAATTATTTTGTGAAGCAAAGTATAATCTTTTTGATTTTATACTTTTTCCCTTATCATTTGTTATTTTGTTCAAATATCCTTCAATTGATGGTGGTTCCTAAATTTAAAATTATAGTTTTAATAGATACATTTATAATAAAAATTTTAGAGAACTATATACATAAACATTTTATTACGATTAATCTAGTTCCATCTTTGGATTTAACTGATGTAGGATAATGCTCAATTGGTCTTAATTGCAACTGATGAGTCTAATGTATTAGACGTACATATTAGTAAAAAATATTTTTTAAAATCAAACAATTTTACATAAAATACCTGCTCAACAAATTGAGGACATTTCAACAAATCATTCCAAACATGATCTTTTTCATCAATCCATTCCAACCTTTCATACCTCTTCCAACATAATCTTAAATCTTTAGATTTTACCCATTTATCTAATACATCATTCTGTTCGGTAAGAAAATTCAATTCATTTAAAACAGCATTCATTACTTTCTCAGCATTCATACTCAATAATGAAAAGTTTTCATCATCATCATTTTGATAAATAGGAATTTGTAATTTAATATCCAAATCTGGTATGGTGACTCCAAGTGAAGGAAGTATTGATTTACTAGTTGTTTCAGAAAATAGGTCATATAATACTTGATACCATTGAACACACAATGATATAGTTCTGGGATTAAGTATAAAATTCTTAACATAACGTTTCATTGGTTGAGATAACAATATCGTATAATCTGATGACGAAAATAATGAAAATTTTGTTTTGGAAGTGAACGGAATACTTTCTATTATTTTGTTCTAAATTGAATAAATTAAAAAAATTAAATAAGGATTTGAAACAGTTTTTTTCTTTTTCCGATTTTAAAGGAAAAATATTTTTTACGTTTTACCTCATTTTTATATAATTCAATCACATCTGGTTTTAATTTTACCATGAATTCTTTCCATTCGGTAAACTGAAAAAAGTCGTGAGTAAAACTTCTCTTTTTATATAATTGCGGATTTTCTTTAAGTTCCTCATAACCAATTCTCACTAACATTTGATCTTGTCTTATGATTGTATTTGGTTGATAATTTGATGAAATTGCGGAAGCAGCTGTACTTGAAAATTTAACATGTTTCGAATCTTGATTCATATCATTATTTTCCTGTTCAGATTGTCCTTCATCAAGGTTACAAGAACATTCATTTTCATCATCATCCTTTTTTTTATCGACTTTATGTTTATTTTCATCATCAATTACAATTGATGATAAAGTATGTGATGTTATATCCACAACGGAATTGTTAGATGAAAGTTTATCATTTACTTCATTAGGTAATGGAAAATAAGATTGTTGTGTAGAAATTGGATTTATATCATGAGCTGGAGTAAAATATGCAGAGGAATGACTTTCAATGGTAATATTACTAGAATTTTGCAATTTTAGCCTTTGTGGTTCAGAGATCAAGTGTTGCGAATCAGTAGCGCTTGCAATTGAATTTCTATTAAAAAAAATATCATGTAATAATTTAAAAAAACATTACGCTAAACGTTAAAAAAAATTTTTTCCTCCTATCCATACCTTTGAAATTTCGAGGAACCATTATAATCTCTCGAGTCGACCGATGATTCACCTTTGTTAATAAGATTCTGACTAGATCGTTTTTTGACGACTTGAGATTTAGAATCATTACTCTTCAAGAAAAAGTATGAAGTTTTCTTATGTGGCCAATTTGATGCTGTTGGACCTATAAATGTTCTTCGAGTTGCAGAGTGTAAATGAGAAGACAATGAAGTGGATGATTTTGTGTCAGTGAATGAATTGGATAAAGAGAGCGCGGGAGAGATTTGGTTGGTAAAGGAGGAGTTTACGTTAGAAGAGGATTCCATTCTCTTTATTTAGTGCATTGAATAAAAAAGTTTTTTTTTTTTACGAAAAAAAGAATTTTTTTACCATTATGTTATATATACAATTTATAGATGACCTAAATTATATGTAATGTTTAGATCGACAAAATTTTAATATAATTTTCGTCGTCTTTTTTGTTTTGCGTAACATTTCTAACCGGAAGTCAAGGGGTTAAACCAATTTTTAGTGAAATTAATTTATTTATATAAAAAATTAGTGCAACATCTCCTTAATACAAAATAGCTAGTTAAATCTACATTTATTTAAGATTTTTTTTTTTTGGATGTCGATTTGGTCCACGTGCAAACCTCCCCCAAATCTGCATAATTCTGAGAATAAATATACAATATAAAAGACATAAATCAAACGGGTATAGAATTTATACACGCGATTATGTATAATATTTTTATGATATACTAGATAAATTTTAAGTAAAAATTGGTGAATTCATAAATAGTTACTGATTAAAAATTTAATTAAATATTTGAAGTTTAAAATAATATTAAATGAATTACATATATTTAAAACATTTAAAACTTAACTTTGATATTCCTAATAAGAAATTGTCTATTTTCATAATTTCATTTCATTAGCATTTGATGCCATCAAAAAGTTATTTAATTATTTATATTTAGGATTATTAAAATTTAATGTTCTTTGGTAAATAATTCACTATCTTTTATATCAAAATATATTTATCTAAAATAAAATAAATTAGAATACTTTAATAATTTTCATCTGTTAGCGTGAACAAATTCTGATTTATCTTAAAAAATAAATATATAATGCACAACTATCTAACTCTCTTATAAAGATACCATTGAATTTATTGGAATTTTTATTTCACATTCAAAATGTTGGCTTATCTTTATAAGTTCTAATTTTATTCACACTGATGATACAGGTTCTATACGCAATTTACTACCACAACTCAAAGAAACAATAGGATAAACTTGACAAGGAATATCATCCCATCCTCGTGCGGAAACCACAGGCTTTTTAGACCCATTAATAGAAAATGAGCATTCGCATTTTCTCCTTTTATGAACTGTGCTTATATTCAGATGAATAGTAACATTATCCCCTTCTTTCATCTTTGCATCATAACATTTCCCATCCTTTTTACGATAAACGTAACCATCAGATCCAAGGACCCACCCATGGTAATTTAGTTCAGTTGTACTTAAACTCTCATCACCACATATACCAATATAAATTATTCCGCCCAATTTTTCAATTACGATATTCCATTCATATTTTCCAAGATTTTTAAACATCATATCTCCCAATATAGATTTATGTACAGGTTTTTGTTTTGTATTGTTGGGTTTCATCATCTCAACAGTAGATCCATAATTGGAAACAATCAATTGTGTACTATTATTATTCCATTTAAAAGCAGGTACTCCACGAATATTTGCTGATTCCTTGTCCCTTGCTTTGTTGCAATAGATATCCTTGAGCTTTTCAATTGAATAAATATTTACAGGTTCGATGTATTTCATAATTTCGTCCACATCCATTCGATTTAAATCAATATAATAGGTAAATGGTGTTAAATGAATCTTTACTTCCTTTTTTTCATCGGTATTACACTTTGAAAGATCAGTTTTTCTATTATTTGTAGCAATACTTATAACTTTTTTTAAAGTATAATTCCAAATATCAAACTCTGAAGTAGCAAACGGTGTTTTTGTATCATCAAAAGTTTTCATTAAAAGATACTTCAACCCTTCTAATGATAACGGGTCATTTTCATCATTTTCATAACTTCCCAATTTGTTCTTGGATACCCAAACTATCAACATCTGTGACATTTCATTATCCACCCTTGAGGTGCATTTCTTAACGAGCTGCGATAAGAGGTTTTTGGAAATATTTGGTCCACCTTTTAAAAACTTCTTTGTACGGTCAATAATAAGTTTCTGAAGAGATGTCAATTTAAAATGAATAGAAGCATAATAAACTTCAACAATATTATTAATAGTTAAGCTTTGCTCTTCAACATCGGACGTATACAAATATTCTATTACTACTTTCATAGCATCTGAATTGATATTACTAAATGAAAGTTCATTATTACTTCCTGATCCGATAAGAGAGTTGAAAACTTTGGAACGAGTTGCTAAAATAGCTTTACATGCAGATAAATTCGTTTTATCCGAACATTTTAAAGTAATGTCAAAAAATCTATCATCATTGATTAATTGTCTTAAATCATCTCCCAAGGATATTTTTCGTTCCAATGATTCTATTTGACCCATTTTTATAAAAGCCTTTAACATTTACTGTATGAACGGGATAAAGGTTGAAGTTTAACACTAAATGGATTTATTAATATGAATCTGAGATTAAGATTATTTCTCAAGCTAAAATTTCATGTAGTAAAATTATCATGATAATTACATAAAAAAATAGATATTTATTACGACTGCTGAGTTACGTAATCATTAAGCTTTTCCAATTCTGGAAATTCCAGGATCCTCTACATCATGTTTTACCGATATTGACTGACAAAGCGGCAACAAATTTTTTCATTACGCTTTACTGTATCCGTGATGGCTAAATTAAACCTAAACTTATCAGAATTTGGATTATTTATCGTGTATCAAAGGAATTGTATTTAGCGGTTTAAGCATATTTTAATGGCGCATGCGAGAAGTTCCTTTGAACATACAGAAACGATTAAAAAATTTTTTATTTAAAGAAAACTTATATTTAAAATACCCAACAAAATTTTGTTAATTCACAATACGTTTGCACTTTGTCAGATATAGATTATCCTATAACTGTTTCTCTGGACACCAGCCTTGTTCAGAAAAAAAAAAAATTTTCTTAGTAGACCAAGATCGTTATATAAAAATTACCAAAGGCAACATATTACAATGTCAAAATTAAAAATCCATTAAATGAACTGACACTAATTAACGGTAAAGTAATATTATGAAGCCCTTAAATCAAATCGCAAATATAACGACCTCAAAAGATAAAAGCCTCAACCGGATACAGGTTTATTTGAAAGTACAAGCAAAACGCCCTTTGTTGTGAGTGCAAAGAAAAGAGTATGTAGGCGATTTCAAAATAATTAATTATAAAATGCGTTTTTCTATTAGTTTGTTTATACTTTGCTCATTTATTTTGTTGATGAAAAAAAAATTATTGTAAAGATATAAAGAAAATTTGACGAGTAATTATGTTTGTTTCAAATTGTTTCGTTAAGTTAAGCCACGTATTAAGTATAGCACAATGGAAGTTCACTTGTAAAATCTGATACATCCCCCGAGCTATTAAAATGGCAAACCTAAAGTTTGATTCAGAAAATTCCGGGAAGAAAGTTCGTTGCTGTATTTAAGGAGAAATGTTAACTAATCCACTATGAATAAACACTGTAAATTTGTTTTTACGTTACTCCCAGTAAAGATTTCCTTTGTAAATTAATTACATACTTAATACTTACAGCAGTTTTGTCTAATTGCGAATTGGATTTCTTCACCTAGTGAACGCATCTTCTGATAAATTAGAGTTTTGGAGTATTATTTTCACTTCTGAGCTAAAACTATCAGATGTATTGGCTTCGGGTTAGGGAGAGTAACCCTATTAAGAGATGCCGAGTTTCTAGACTACAAACAGAAATTTGAGACTGATCCTGAGCTCTGTGGCTTCAACCTATTCTTCTATTTTTCTAATGAAGTAGTCCTCAGAGATCTTTGATGACGATAAAAACTTTACCAAAGTCGTGGAACTAAGACTTATTTCTCAAGATAAATTATTATACATTTGTGTGTAGGAACGCCCTCCCTTTTCTTTCTTGGTTGAATAGAGCTGTAAATTCAACCCAAATGTTTCATCTCAATATTCCGACAGATACACGGCCAGAAGAGAACGATCGTGTTGATAGATGATTAAAGAATCAGAATTTGCATTTACGTGGTCATACTTTTCACTTCAGAATATTATTATTATCATCCTTTACCTTGCGAAATGCAATCCCATTCAGCTTCACCACCGCATTTTTTTGAATTTCATCATTTAGTGGTAATATTGTTTTTTTTTGAGTTTGGCGATTTGTTGCGATTCAGGTGAAGCCGAAGTTAAATATTTGAGTAGGAATATGATCGCACCTACATGAATTATATATTTCCTGAGAAAACCTTCGGAGCATCTCCAATGTTAAGATACCCGGAGAACCATCTCATAGATTATGATGGCGATGGTGAAGAGTGCGATAAAAATAATATCAGATTTTGAAAGCATTTTATACTTGTTAGAATATTTTTGAATAGATTGGTGCAAAGGATGTGAAATAACTTTTATTTATTTTATTTGTGCAGTTGATCGCTACGATAGTCACAAAACATGAAAATCTAAATGTCCACTAATTTTGCCGATCACGATTTCAAAATAGCTCGGAGCGTTCATTTTTATTAGCAGTTTCCGTGGCATTGGTGGATGGTTGCTTTAGAAAAAGATGTAACACTGCTAGCCAACGGATTCTTTAGGGGTTAAGGACAAGTATTTGTAGGAAAGTTCGTAATATTCGTAATGTGGATGATGTACCATGAATCAACACGGAAATTATTTTTTCCGTTAAGTCTTTTGGACTTTTAGCCCATTTTCTTCACACTGCTCGGAAAAAGATAACTTATTGTCTGGCGTCGAATTTATGAGAAGGCAGGTGCCTAGCTTTTCCTAATGAAATTGCGGAAGTTTATTAGTCAAGATCACCCATACTTATCTTTGGTTAGACTTCTTTTCGCAATGATTAGTAATGAATATCAGTATTCACAGAATACCTTATCACGTGCTGAAAAAAATACGATATTACGGATATAATGCAATAAAATTGATATATCAGATGTCACCTTTGGTAATTAAGGTATGATCACAGATTTCGGTGAGGGAATTCGACAAAGACAGTTCCGATTAACAATCGCACCCACGTATGAAATCAAAATTAACGTCAACACCAATTGATATGCACAGCCTGATAAAAATCGCACCTAAAGCATGGACGTTTTATTGATCACGGCATTAAAAATATACTGGAACGCAGTATCTTTATTAATTTTCATAATACCTATATTGCTATAGAAATTGGATTTTACTTAGATCACTTAATTGATTCGCCAAAACCATGTTTCAACCTTCCAATTCATTTCAAAGCTCGATTTACTGCAGGCGAATAATCACCATCGCCGGAATTTAAAAGAACTATATCAGGATCCTTATTTGTCTCGCCGTTGACCATATTTGTGGATGCTAAGGCATTTTTATCTCTTTTATATGCTATCATGGCTCTTAATTCATTGATTGTAATTCCACCAAGATTATAAATGGTTGAAACCAATCGACCGTTTAGGTTTCCACGGTCCAGGCAACCAAAGAGTTGCCCATACGAAGAATACTTTTGATTGTAAGGTAAGTATCACTCATAGTGGCTCCGAGTTCCATATCTACTTTTTTTTCTTTATTTTCGGCATTTCTATCATAAACAATCATCTCAAAACCTTTGTTTCAATTGTTATCCCATAGTGAATCGTTCGAAGGGGATGTACACTTCCCGGTCAAAATTATTGGACCATTAAAATTATCGCAATTTGTAAATTTAATAGCCAACTTTAATTTTTAAATTATAAAAAATTTAAATAAGTAATTTTACATAAATATTTTTTTATTTTATTCATAAAAACAATTTTTTATAAAAATAATTAGTATTTAGTTGGATAAACATGCTATCTATTACAGCTTAAACCCTTCTCGACACACTTTATACTAAATTTTCTAAAATGTCTGTCCAATTTCATTCCATTTTTTCCTTGAAACAACCATTAATTCTTCAAGAATTTTTGGATATAGAGTATGTTTATAAACCTTATTGTTCCAAACATTCTATAGATATTCAATTATATTTGAGTCAGGTGGTTATGTAGGCTATAAAAATATTTGAGATTGAATTACCATATTTTCTATCTATTGCTTAATTGCTTTGCCCAATAAACTAAAAAATTTCATCTTAAAAAAATATATTCTAACTCAGTATCCAATTCATCAGTAAAAGACAAAAGATTATTTTTTAAATCTCAATATATACAAAAAACTCATAATTTATCAGAAATTTGAATTAAAACTCCAATATTAATTTTCATAAAATATCTCTATATCATTATGTCTTATTTTTTTGATTTTACAGTGGGAATTAAATAAATTATATCATACTTTTCATGAGAACGACACTAAATACAATGATTAGCATCATTTTGAAATGATAAAAAATGAGATAAAATGGATAGGAATATCTATAATATTTCATTTCCTATAAATACCTTTCCAGAGGCTAATTATTTCATCTTGTTTAAATTCAATTAGCATTAAAATATATATATATATATTTTTTAGTACCAAAAATTTAAGAATTTATTGAATTTAAATGAGGTAAAATAATTGATTTTTAGAAAGGTATTCACAGCAAACAAAATATTAAAAATATTCTTGTCTATTTTATCTCATTTTTTATTATTTCAAAATAATATTCATCATTGTATTTAGTAACATATTTATGAAAAATATGATGTAATTTGTTTAATTTTATAATAAAATTAGAAAAATAAGACATAATAATATAGAGGTATCTTATAAAAATAAGATTAGATTTTTAATTCAAATTTCAAATAAATTATAAGTTTTTATATACATTAAAATTCAAAAAATAACTTTTGCTTTTTATTAATGAGTTGAGAACTAAAATAAAGTATATTTATTAAGATATAATACATTAGTTCATTGGGTAAAACAATTAAGCAATAGATAGAAATTATAGCAATTTAGTTTTAAATATTTTATGATTTGCATAACTATCTGATTTAAATCTAATAAAATATCTATAGAATGTAAAGGTTTTAAATATATTATATCCAAAATTCTTAGAGAATTAATAGTTGTTTTAAAGAAAAAATGAAATGAAATTGAAATAAATATTTTAGAAATTTAGTATAAAATGTGTTGAGAAGAGTTTAAATTATAATAGATAGTAAACTAAATATTAATTTTTTTATAAAAAGTAACTTAAAAAAAGGACTTAAAAAGTTAAATAATTCTTTTGCTTCAGGATTATCAACCTATAATAATGCAAAATCACAAGAAACTGAAGTCGAAGTAATAGTATATAAAATTTTTATAAATCTTCTTTAGATAAGGGTCAAATAATATAATTATCCATAGGTCTAAATAAGGAAGACTGAACTGTTATTTTATGAAAAGAATTTGATGTTGATAAAAAAGGTTGTGATGACATAAAATCTGAAACTATAAATAAAAAAATTAGTATAATATTAATTAAATAATTATAAATAATTAAATTTTAAAATTTTACATGATCATTTGTTTAAATTTTGAGTTATATTTAATAGAAAAATTTCTTCTCTCTCTTCTAGCATTATTTTATTAAGAAAATTAGAACATTTTTTAAAATATTAAATTATACAATCTTTTTTATTTGAAAACCATATTTTATGACCTTTTTCTTCTCCTAATACTTCTATACATAGTTTACAAAATATTTTCAAATTACATTTATTAACTTTTATTTCAATTCTAATAATGTATTATACTAATAAAGTAGAAAATAGCATTATAATAAAATGTGGCTTAGATTTTAATATCTAACAGACATATAAATTTGTTTCAGATAGATTAAAAATATATTTGGACATGTCCATTATACAAATTATCACGAGACATTTAAGCAGACATAAATCTTGGATATATCCAGAATATGTTCATGTCCATTCAAAATAAGATGGATAATATTCATTGTATAATACTATTTTACTTTTTAATAAGTAATTTCAGCTTTTTTTGCAATTTTGAATGTACTTTGCATTTCTTTTTAATTTGAGAATTATATTCTGTTTTCACTATAAGATTATATATATAAGCATTGAAAAATTTCTGATATTTATTTTTTAGTGATTTATATATTAGTTCTATTAAATGTAGGACTGAATAAAAAGGCTTATTAACTCATATTAATAAAAATACTAATATTTTTATATAAAAAGCTTTTTTATAGATGTGAAATAAAATCAAATACAATGTGTAAAAGTTCTGCAATAAGTTAGTTTTTTAAGAAGTCACGTAAAATAAATTCTTCTATAATAAGCCTATAATATATGAAATATAAATGTATATAATCATCTAATCACTTCTTTATTTTTGAATTTATAAAATAAATTGTTTGAATATTCTTAAATTTATTTAGGAAATCAAAAATTTAATTTAAAATTTACAAATGAAATACATATATACTTTTTTTTTTATTATCATAGATATATTTTGATTGATTAACTTTTAATTCTATAAGAAATTAAAGGTATTATGTGAGATATATAATATATTATAAAGTCAAGAAATCTTAAAATAACATATCATATGACCTTTATAACAAAATTGATAAAAATTAGAGAAATTATAATATTAAAAAATTAAGAAATAATCAATCAAATAAAGAGTCATAAAGAAAAAATAATTAACCAAAAATCATATGATAATAAGTAAATAACTGATTAAAATAGTGTGATGAAATACAAATTATTTAATATAACTGATAGGAAACACAGTCATATAAAGTATAACATAACTTGAAAGTAATACAAATCATATAACTTAATTAGAAGAAAGTACAAAAACTAGAACATATTATGATAATCAGAAAATAATATAATAACTTAAATATTATATAATAACCAGAAAGTAATATGATAACTA